TGGTGTTTTGCGTATTTATTGTATTGGTTCAATCGGAAAATCAAATTGTATAAAGTAAATGTTGACTGCCAATTTAAATGACTTTTTAATTTTTTACTTTCATTACTCGGGTCCGCCAGATTTTAAAATTCTATACATTGACCATCTATCTACTTTGAGTTGCACATCCCTGTACTATACAATATGTATACGCACCGATTCACATAAACCGTTCACCGAAGCAATTTGCGAGCCAATACGGTAGCTGACTTCCAATCCGGTTCTACGGTACACAATTATCAGATCCAACGAACAATTCATGATTGCCGATAAATCACGAAGCTGTTCATCGATCGTGCGTTTCCGCATCTTGTTCATGCAATACATCGCCATATTTCTCTTCAATGATTTTGTGGCAGTTGATTCTTCACAGATGATGCTACTAGAATCCATCGCGTTAAATTATAGCACCGTCCGGTATTTTATAGAAACAGAATATATATATAATTGTTTAACAATTGAGAATATTATAAAAATCTCTGTAAAGTTTTTTATAGTATCCGTGCAAGTCGAAGAATAATAAAATTCAGCAACAATCAAACATTCAATACATCAACAGATTAACCAACGAACTATATAGTTGTTTGATTTTATTTATTGTGGCCAACTACTTCAATAAAAGTGAATTAAACAAAATTAATAATGATAAAAATAATAATAAAATTTTAATTAATTCAAAATTAGCCGGATAATAAGTCATGCATTTTGACAAATGTGTATTTTTTCCAGGGCTTCAAACCGGTGGAACCCGTTTTATTTATTAACCGGTTTTATTGGAAAATGTATATTCACGAAAACAAAAATGGAACCAAAATTACTTTTTTTTTTCTAGTCTGGATTACAGGTCATTTTACTAGTAAATAAATGTTTAAGCATCATTACATGTAGACTAACATAAACATATAAATTAACAAAACGTCATCAGGTAAATATATAAATACTAAAACAGGTGCATAAAATAAAATAAGATATAGTTAATGTACTAAGTAGATATTGGTAATTATCATAATGGTAATGGTAACAACGGGTGATTTTAGAGGTAACGTATGAAATTGTGTTTTTAAATTTTGTCACTCCAAAATTTTGCCATCCTTATAGCCTTGTTATTTGCGGTTTGTAAATCTGTTACGTCACATTTTACTAGGCATTCATAGCAGTTAGCAGGTGTGACATTGTCTGGGTTTCTTCGTATACACAGTCCGTGTCTTCCTTCCCATCGCTTATTCCCCATTTTTTTAGGTTCTCCATCGAACGTCCTACTCCAGAACGTAAGCGATTTAATGTCTTCCAAATCACCCATTTATTGCCATGTCCTCGGGGTAGCTTCTCTTCGACTATTTGCCTGCTCTCTACTTCCCACAATTTCAATCTTGCTGAATGATGATAACCACAATAACTAATTTTATAGAACGAAAACGAAATAGTTAACCAGAAAAATATTTTTTGTTCTCGAACGGAAATAAATACATTTTTAATGAAGAAAAATAATTAATATTTAATTTTAGTTTTTACACATTTTGTTAAGTTGGTGTACCTGTTTTATTTGACAAAAGACAGGTAAAAATTATTAGATAAATATAAAATAATTTGCAAAATAAAAATTGAACAGTTGATAAGTAGAACTACTGGTTGTAACCCCACATTACTGTAGATAATACGTAAACACGATTAATGACAACCAGAAACGACATTATTTATTGTTAGAATACCACTTTTAATGGTCGATGGTATTATCTTAAATTGTGTCAAATATTTGTAAATTTGTTCAACATTTTGAATTAATATGGTTCTTCTTTTTTGTCTTACTCGATAATAAATATTGTAGTTATGTTGTTCATTATGTGTGTTAGTATATTCAATATTGTAATAAAAACTTAAAAATGTGTATCATATTATTTATTGTATATTAATATACGGCCTCTGAAGCTGAAAAAAAAATATATTAAAAATGTATAAATTATGAACTTATTTTAAGAATATCTCACGATAGTTGAATTTTCTTACTAATTATTTCATAATTATGACAATAAATTGTCTGAGGTATAAAATTGTTATAAAAAAATATATTTTTTTAAAAGAACAAAATTAACCGGTTTTAAAGAACTATAAAATATAAGATCAATATTAATCAGTTTTTAAAACCGAATAAAATAGTAGATGAACTAAAACCATTAACCACAAAAATCATTATAGTTTGAAGACCTGATTTTTCTCTTATAAAAATTAAATTACAACATTACCCAAATCATTTTAACATTAGTCAATAGTGGATAATGTTAAATATTGTACATTGAAATTGATGTAAAATTTTTGTTAACACTCAACTGCATTCTTGTTAAGTACTCGAGTAAAAGTATTCAAATAAAAGTATTTAAATTATTTTCTAATAGTCAAATACACATTTTAAATAGTTTTGAAAAAAATACTTGGACACAGTAGATCAAATATTTTATAAGAGTATCTGTATTTAAAACCGAATACTTTATTCGATTTTTTTTTTTTTTACAAATGTTATTTCAATTATATCACATTAAAATAATAAACTAATTTATCAATTATACATATATTTTATATTAATAAATATTTATCAACCACTTGTCTGTGTTGTATAAATAAAATCAATATTTTTGTGTAGCAATATATACAGTGTATATATTTAACAAATATAAAACGGTTTTAAAAAATTTTAGAGAACTTGACTTTAAATCATACATTTTAACAATTTTATTAATTTTAATATTTTAACCAATTATTGAACAATTACACTTGAACTTGTATTTAGCTTATAAGGCTTTTTCAATTACATTATTTATCAAAAAAATAAATGATTTAATATATAAGTACAACCGTGGTGGGTCAAATTACGAAGCAAAATAAGCGGTTTTTATTTTTATCAAAACAAAACGTATATATAATAAATAATTACTACCTCAATGGTGAGAAAACTAATAAATAATTGTAAATTGTTCGCTACAGTGGCGAATAAAAAAAAAGAAGTATGGTATACAAAAATAATAATAAGAAAAAAACGAAACGAGTAGAGAAGCTTCAATAGCGACCGAATGACGAGCGACAAAAATAATAAGAATAATAGACCGTAGTGCAACAATCGCGACCGACCAACAACACAGAGAGATAAACTTTAATAATATAAATATAATGAAAATAATTATCGGCGTTACATAACACAGTTAATATGACAATAATATAAAAAAGAATATAATAAGTAATTAAAATTCACATATATACAGTTGGGAATATAGAAAAGGGAAGCAGATAAGGAAAAATGGACAATGCCGCCGTGCAGATTAGCTCGCGTATATATCGGGTTCTTCACTAACAGTCCGCGCAAACAAGTATCATTTTATAGTTCATTTTCAATTGCGCAGTTATCGATCGGGTCAAAAATTTTTAAATTAAATAATGATTTATTAAACAATAGTACAATAACACAATAGGTGTATAAAAAATAGATAAAAACCTATTCGCAGATCTACTAAATGTATATATAAAATGTCATTAAAATCGGTTAAGTTGTTTGGGAAGAGTATGGTTACAAACACTGTAATACGAGATTTTTATATATATAGATATATATGTGAACACTCTATTCTAAAAGGTTAAGGTTTGACTCTATAAAACGTAATATATTAGGTTTTAATAATAATTTAATAGGTGAGGATAAAGTCTACGTAGGTACGTGCATAAATAAAGTCTTGCCTTGAACCAATCAGAATACGGTCTTTACTTTTATTTCGATAGAGATAGTACATAAATATAATTTTTTTTTTTATTCATCTGCATTAGTTATGTGTTGAACATTAAGTAAAGTAAATTGTGTTTATTGTATTTATTGAAATTAATTAAACGTATTTTAGAAAAAAATCAAACAAAAACACGTCGAACGTCTTTCAGAACCAGAAGAATATTACTAAGTTTTCAGTAATATTTAAAATATATATTTTATTTTTGCAAAAAGAACGTTTAATTAAACATGTTGTCACTGGTTTCAATAATTGGTAAATCGAAATTTGAATTTCAAAATAAAAAATACGTTTCAATGAGATAAGGCCCAAAAGTATTCTAACCGAACCTATCATAAAGGTCTATACAAGTGTGTGAATAATATTGTTTTTGGTAATGCTTTTCAGAAGGAAGTCTAAATATAATGAAGATTAAAACATAGAAAACACGAGGAAATATATGAAGAAACTTTTGGATAGATCTTTGTAAATTAAAAAATAAAATCACTTTTTGTAATTAGAAGACTTATTATTTTATTGTAACTTGATTCGTTCCCAGAACTGCCCAAGAACTGCAATAAAAATTAAGATACACAATATAATATTTTCACCAAACGATACTTTTTAATTATAGATAATAAATGAATAAATTTATTATCTCTGTTTTTTATACTTATTTAATCACATAATTGAAGAATGGATCTTCGTAGGAAAAAAATTGTTGTGTCCGTATATAATATTGCCTACATTTAGCCCCTTTTTTGCAGCTATCAAAATGTGATAACATTGATAAAACGATAACATCATTTTTATTATAATAGTTTTATATATTGCTCAATTAAAATTAAAATAGTTAAATAAATTTAATAATACACAATTCAAAAAAAAAATTCAATATAAGTAATTTAAAATTTAAAAATACACAATTCATTGCGAATACTTCAAGCGAAAATATAATACAAATGTTATAATTAGGTTTAATATTTTGTATTTTTGTTATAAAAGCGTACCTAACTGTTTAAAGTTTAAACTATGGGTTCCATCAACACAGATTTAGTCATTTCCAAATACAAAAATTATCTTTCCTAAATTTGTAGCAAAATCATCTTGCATAGTATTTAAAATACAAAATTGGATTTTTAATATATTTTTCTAGCTATTAGGCCCATAATTGGGCCATAACACTCATACTATAAACATTTCAATGCTGTTCCTTCCACAGAATCTTGGACATCATTTAATACCTTTTGAATAGGAATCAGTATAGATGGTAAGTATAGTAGTATATAAAATAAAATAAGCTACCTGTCAAATATAGATAGGTACCTGCCAATTTTGCTCTATCAGCTGTAGTAAACCTTAATTTACCATATTCATTTTAGTGCCATAATTGAGCATTGCTGTATCTTACTATTAATTCATTGTCCTCGTTTAATAATGATTAAAATATGGTATCTTGAACCAATGGAGTATCCACGGGGGTGGTTTTGGGGGTTCAAACCCCCACCTCCTTAGGCTTATTTTTTAATGTTATTTTTAATAATTTCTTGCGTTTTGTTACAATCAATATCAATAGATCAGTTGCGTTTAATATTAACCAATTAACCAATTATCCAAATAAGAAAATGTAATATTATATACACGCAGTGGCGTAACTGGGAAAATACCTAGGGGGGCAATATAATATATTTATTATTACCAAAACCCTGACACCCCTCCCCATCACCAGTTAAAACATATTTTTATTGTATGTATTTTATACACTATATCTAATTGTTTGATTTTACATAAGTCTTTTAACTCATTTTATGGTTTAGATAAACATAAATTGTAGGTAGCATGTACTAGGTACCAATATTGTTAAATAATATTTTTAAGAGTTCATTAATAAAAGATGCTACTTGTACTGTTGGTTTATCGGGGGGGAGGGAGAATTATACTTGTATCTCTCAAAAAAATGGTCAAAGGGGGCACTTGCCCCCCCCCACAATTACGCCACTGTATACACGTAATAACGTTCTCTATAATACGGGTGATCATAAATATTGTCATTGTATATTATAGATTAGAAGAGCATATATTAGTTATATAATTAGATATTCTAGGTATTTTTCACAAAACATTAATCACAATCAATAAGTACTATTATTTTGATCTTGTAAATATTATAGTATTTCTTTTTTTCTTATCTGAGAAGTTGTTTGAACAAGTTGACGTCTTTACATATATAGTCTTACGTCTCACAGAATTAAAATGGTAAGTGTTAACAAAATTAATTAATTTTATAATACTAAATAATTTTTTTCAAATATTGTATCATATACTGTATAGTATATTATATTATAAATAATAGATATTATAAAATATAATTTGTGTTTTATAATTAAATAATTTTAAGATCATTCGGAAAGTGATAAAAAACCATCGGGAAAAATTGATTCTTTTTTTTTACCTATGTTAAAAAAACAAAAAGTAAACGTATAAATGTAAATTTTATGAAATAAATTTTAAAATATACATATAGATAATAATATTATGTTATAGATATATTTTTATTCCTGTAACCACCCCCATAAAGTCATTCTGGATAAGCCACTACTTTGAACTTAGAGGTATGGAGAAATATGAGAGTAATAAAAATGTTATATTTTTTATTACTTTTGAATTGTACCTTTTAAATGACGATCGTAAGTGAATATTGTGTTTTTTTTCGAATTGTGTATTATTAAATTTATTTAACTATTTTAATTTTAATTGAGCAATATATAAAACTATTATAATAAAAATGATGTTATTGTTTTATCAATGTTATCACATTTTGATAGCTGCAAAAAAGGGGCTAAATGTAGGCAATATTATATACGGACACAAACAATTTTTTCTTGCGAAGATCCATTCATCATAATTGCGTTGGTTGGTTAGACTGATAAATTGAGGTTATAAACTGTTATCATTTTATCAATTCAATACTTCACTGATTATCAACATGTGTGTTTGATTTTTGTGTTTAAAAAATATTATCTGCTCCCTTTTTTAGCATCGGTAAATTTTTAATTTACCTTTATTATAAAATGTTTAAAACTAACGAGAGTAATGCCATTGGATTTTAATAGAGATTTCTAAGGAAGTACTACGATTTAAATATTACCATGAATTTGGAGGAGTATGAATTTAAAGACAGAACAAAAGTGAAACGGCATCGAAAGCCAATTAATAGAACGACCAAACGAACCATAACCTTTGATGAAAAATCTAGATCGTAAGTATTATTAAACAGGAAACATTTTAATAGTAAAAAATTATAAAAGTATAGTTCCTACAGTAATCACTCTAGTTTTTTGTTGCACACCTAGTTGTTAGTACTAGTTAGAATACACTTCTAATAATTAATTAATATACAACATATTTTTAACCATTATCCAAGAGCTCATACATATTATTTTATAGTCACCTAATACACCTTTTCCTTTTTTACTCTAATGGTTTCCTAATTATTATAAAAATTGAATTTTAACAATGGCAATGACTCCATAGCCCATGGATCATTGTAACAACAATAAATAAATTATTTAAAAACTTAATTTAAGAAGCTATAGAAAAAAATTTTGTACACCATGAATATATTATTTACTTTGAAGATAAAACTTATATAGTTTCTTGCTACTGTAGTGATACATTAGAGAAATTCCCTTTTTTGTAGCAAATATTTTCAATTCATTTTTTATAAATATTGAAAATGAATGCTTATTATATATAAGTATGATTACTGTCTTTAGTATCAAGCATTTTATTTAAACGTTAACATCTATTAAATGTCATTTTAGGGAGTTTTTGACAGGATTTCATAAAAGAAAGCTTGCACGAAAAAAGAAAGCTAGAGAAGATTTTGAAAAAAAGTTAAAAGAAGAGAAGAAAAGAATCAAAGCTGAGGTAAACATTTTTTTTTTCATATATTACATACATTTTTACTATTTTGTTTGTTAATTACCCTTTAGGCAAGAGAAACTTTCAAAAAGTTGACTAATTCTCATCCATTTGTCCCAGAACCTCTTGATTTGGTTACTCAAGAATACAGTTTAGAAAATCATACTGTACAAATATGTGATTTATCAACTGATGAGATTGCAAAAAGTAACAATTGGATTGGATCAAATCAGGTTAGTAAATTCAGGTTATTAAAGTTATAAATTATTTAATGATAATTTGAAGTGTAATTTAATTACAAAAATAATATAACTGTTAATATTATAAATATTGAATTTCTTTCAATAAGCAATTGCTGTTAGAGCTGTTAGAGTTAAAAAATATATTAATATTTCAATCAATGAGATACATCTTTTTAGTAATTTAAGTTCTTTCCAGTAACAGTGAATACGCATTATATAAAAATATTAAAAATTTTTTAAATTTTTGGGTATTTTTAGGTCATTTATGAGGATGATAAAAAAAGTGATGATGATGAAGAAGTTGATAGTGAAAATAACGATGACACCGAAGATGTACCTGGCATGAGTTTTAATTCATTAAAAGAAATAAAAAAAGCAATTAAGAAACAAGCATCTGAAACTGTACAAAACAGCAAAGTATTCAAGATGAAAAATAAAATTGAACGTATTAAAGATAAAAAGAAAGCGAAAAGGAAAAAACTTTTAGAATCAAAAAGGAAAAAATGGTTGAAAAAAAAAGGAAAAAAAGTTAAATAATAGATATCAAAACTTATACTAATGCAATAACTTTTTATGTATAATATTATAATATTTATATTAAAATAATTAATGTAAAATTTAACTGGAAATATTAAACTTGTTTTCTACCTTTTGATTCAACTTAATTTGTAAACATCAAAAAATATATTTTGATTATTGTTGTGCACAGTGTAGTAGCACACAGTATAAGTCAGCTTTATTTTTATATTTTTATTTATTTATTTTTTTTAATAAAAGAAAAACAGCCTCGGTGATTATGGCCACTAGACAAATACTATTTACAAATTTAAGTTAAGTGTATTTTGTACATGTTATTGAGTATTCAATTAATTTATATTTTATTAGATAATGATGTGAATTGCATATATTTTTATTAAGAATTTTAATATGTTGACACATTGAGTATTAAATGTGATTGATTGGGTATCAAAATGGAATAATAATTTTTTTAAAAAAAAAAAAGGTTCCCTTTTTAGATTGTATAAAACTGCTTTGGGAAAAATCAATAATTTAAAATGCCTATAAACAGCACACAACAATTTAATTTTCAGGACCAAAATAACTTAATCAATATTTAAAAAACTAAAAAAAAATTAAGAAATTTTCTTATACTTAACTCAAAAAAGTCACAATATTTTAAAAATTATATCATCTCTACCGAATTTTGATATGAATATTTAATATAAATTTCAAGTTTTTGCAATTGATTATTTTATGAGTTACATAAAAAATGAAATTTGATGTTTCCAAAAACTGCAATAAAATGTTGCCAGTTTTTTATAATTTTTCTCAATTATTAAAAACAAACTGTAGTAAAATTACCTACTTAAATATCAATCAGTTATTATTTTCTATCTTTTAATGGTTATGATGATCAAAGTATTTTTGTATATTTTGAGCCCTTCAAATCCCTTTGGGTCTATGTTTAAGGTGGTATAGCGTACACATGATATAATTTTTTTTTTAATTTTTTTATTTTTCTATATTGTAAGTAATTTATATTTATTATTTCATGGCTTTTGAGCAAAGCATTGATAGTGATTGTCTACATTTTATGGTTTTTAATTAGTTTTATGTACTATTAGTATAAGGAAAAATATTCAGAAGAATGTATTTCAACTAAAGAAACAAGATAATAGATATCCCACTACTGTATGCTTCAAGGGGTTAGTAATCCAAGAAAACATTATTATGTCATATTTTCTTTGAGAAAATAAATCATATTTATTTCAGATATAAATATTTAATCGGTCGTGGCATAAGACCCAAAGGTTTCAAACGGCGTTACTTCAAGGTACTCGTATATAAACGAATTAACGACTATTGTGGTAATTTGAGAAATGAACGTCGTCTAGAATTCTCAAAAATTAACACCACACAGTAGAAATTCTTTACTATGTCCGTAACTTTGTCGTCCAGTTCATTATTTTCGAACGGTTAAAATATTCACCATACACAGGTGCCATCCGAAAATGTCTTCGTGGACTCTAGCACAGCTCCCACTAACTTGTTTGACGTAACAAGTCCACCGAGTGATGATCCAAGATGACAAAATCTCTTCCCTAGGTGTATTTTTAAGTACTTCATTCACGCTTTAGACGAATGCTCAGTAGTACGAGAATGCTGGCAAGGATCTAGAACTTAAATTGGGAGGGGGGTCATTTTTTTGGAAAGGACATATAAATAATACACTATTACAAAATAATGAAAGTAAATTATTAATTAAAATTAGAACGTTATTAATAAATACAATTTTTAATTTTTAAAATTAATTTACAAAGTTTAATTTTCTTTGTAATGTTTTTCTAAATTTAGAAATAATATCATCAACATTTATGGGTATAGTCTTGTGAATATTGAGCAAAGCGAGACCTTGAGGTGAAGCGTTCCTATCCTACGAAGCCACGTCGGGGTCGGAGCATAGCATATTTTAAGGAGTAATATTTAGGCATTTCGTATAGCATTTATATTTAAGCTGTGTCAATGTGTGAATATTCCGTTATCGCGCCACCGTAACCCGAGAGTAGAGAATGATCACATGTATAGCACATTTGTAACAATTTATTAGAACCCAAATTAGCGATTAGTGATGTCGTACGTAGCAAGTATATGGTATCAGTGGCGTGCGCAAGGAGGGAAGATAGATGATATATTCCCTCCCATAGGCTTTTTTTTTTTTTTAGTCTTAAACGTTTAAAAATGTACTTAAAAAGTCGATGGCGCAGTCATGGTTAAATAGATTACGTTTATGAACATACATCAAGACATTCCTTTGCCTACAGAACAAATTATTGATGAATTTAGTGTAAAAGCAAGAAGGATGAATTTTCGCCCTGATTGAATTTTTTTTTGTATAATTATAAAGAATAAAAATTGAAAAAATTACATTTTTATGTATGACATCTCCCCATACTAAATTCCTGCGCACGCCACTGTATGGTATAATATATAGACATATTGGTAACGGATTGACAATAATCTTATCTAAAATAAGTTATCTTTCCGTCGAAGGTCGAACATTTCCGCAGATTTACTATTTATATTATAATATATTTATATTTACTCGCCAATAATATTCTTAGAAGTTCGATGTAAATTATGATTTTATGAACAAGTGGTGATATCGTTTAAATGTAAATAAATATAATATGTTGTATAACATTTTTATCATATGAAAAAATTTAATTGAAAAAAAATTAAAAACGCAATTTATGCGTAATTTAATTTTAAATAAAAACGAAGGAGCTAATCTTGATGTTTGGGAGGGGGTCATGACCCCCCCGACCCCCCCCCCCTTGGATCCGCGCCTGCGGGAATGTTGAACACAGAACATACACATGATGCATTCGACCTGCCAGAAATCTCGAGCGAGGTCACCTGTATGACTCATGATACAATAACTTCATGATTGACTACCTACTGAATAACACAGACAAATAATAATCGGCTGTTGAAGTTACCCACAAGCCGCAGCGTAAACGTTAATATCCTGGATTTGTGGTCGCTCAATGATGAGAGCTTACATTTTGCGAAATGAATAAACACTTCAGATTTATTATTTGGCTCTGATATAATTTTAATGACAATAATCCAAATAAAACGTAAGTAATGAATTGAACTTTTAACAATTCGATCAGTAATAGTGTAATACAGTAACTTTCATTGGTCTTATTTTTTCTTTACACGTCAACTTCCCGGGAATTGATAATTATATTTTAGCAAAAATAACTCTAATCGTTATTTTTTGATCGTCCGTGTGATCAGGACCATTCTACGTAGCTCGACACAATACTTTACACGTTAGACTCGGAAAAAAAGAATCATTCATCATGTCTTAACGATACAAGTATTTTTCTGATTTCCGAGTAAGTTTTAGACTTCATGCTTAAGCTGTAATAATACCGTTTTACGTGGCCGTGCGCAGTAATTACCTTCCGTGTAAGCATACTACCTAACCTAACCTAACAATCGGTTGGAAAATTTCAACAAATCTCTGAATTCCGTCGTGATGTTCAATCCATCGAGTATCTCACATTGATACCAGTTTAGTCCATTTGATATTAGATACAATGGTTTTTTATTTTAGTTTTTAATAGATTTGTCCGCATAGCCGAACTTATAATAAAATTTCCAATAGACTTTATTGTACCAATACAATTTCTGATATGTTGAACATTGCATAGATGAGCTAGCGCTAAATGTGAAGAGTGCGCATTACAATGTACGTAAAGAGCTGCTAGATGACTTTCCCTCATAACCGTTTGAACGCCTTTGACATTTCCATTTATGGAAACAGCGCCATCATAACCCTGACCGACCATATATAAGTATTTATCGTTAATTCCAAGTGCTTGTAATGAATTTATTATTACAGAGGCTTGGTTTTGCGCAGTTTTACTGTCAACCGGTACAAATCGTAAAAAGCCTTAACGTAAAACATAATTAATAGTTTCAGTTGTCTCTACTAAGTCTAGATATCTAATACAATGAGTCAATTGCTCTATACGTGATATGTCGGTAGTTTCGTCAACAAGAACTGAAAACGACTTCGCTGCATTAATTTTACAAACTATATTGTCTTGAATTATTTTATCACAAATCTCAATAAAATTATTTTGAATTCTAGGACTAATGTACATAGCGTTTAAAGACTGATTTTTAATATGGTCAATTAAATGTTTGTCTCCGCATGACATTCGCATACGCAACAGTGCTCTAAAATTACCATCATTATAATCAGGTTCAATAACATTTAAATCAATACGACCCAAATCATTTTGCCTTCGAAGTGCTAACTCTTGTCAGACACATAAAATAATAGTTATAATAATTGGTACGAGTTTTTTCCTATTTTCAAAAATGTGTAGAGCTCTTGCGGAGTCGAATTAGGTCCGAACCGCAAAATCCCCCCCCCCCCCACCTATGTACAGCCTTGATTAAAATAAATGTATTAATATTTCATAAAGAAAATAGTTTAGAAATAATATACTAATATCAATAATCTCTAACGAGTAACGCCCGAGTATTTCTAATCAATCGGAACTGTAAGGAGACCTCTTTAAAATTATTCCTCGACAGGGCCTGGGGTAAAACGGTCCCGTTCCCCCCCCCCCCTCTCTGGCGACAGTCCTGATTGCGCGGATATACTGTTTCGCACGTGTAGGTGATCGAAAGGACGAGTAATGCGAACCTATGTATGTTGCGTATAACATTATTGATCACGACGAGGCACGCATGTGCATAATGACGTAAACGGAGTTTTACTCTAAACTCTATACGATACACGACGAAGAAAACACGGTATGCGCTATGAGCAAATAGGTGCATAGGATTCCATAAAACGAACGTCCATCTGGACGCATGGCGGTGCCCGTGTCATTGTTGCAGGTACTTGCGCGATAAAAAATACATATAAAAAAATAAAAGCGTATAAAAAAAAAAATGAATTACAACATCTATAACAAAATCCGAAGGCGGAGAAATTCACCGAGCGTCGTACGTACGCCGTACATCAATCTATTTGTATACCTCGCACGATTTCCGATTATTGTTGTTGTTGTTATTATTATTATTACATTCGGGTGTCATAATGAATAGCCTATATAAACCCACACGCAGTCAATTAATATTTTTCAATCGCGCACCGTTTCCCGAACATACAGTGCCCCGTGTGTAATACGCATTCGTAAGTGCGCACGTTTGATTGACGAAAACAATGAGCGCGCGGTAGAAAATTAATTAATAAGTAGACTACGGGGACGACGACGGGAGACGAGGTGGGAGAAAAAAAAACGAAGGAAAAAGGAGAAAAAAGGAGACGAATTAACCGTGAGTTGGGTCCGAAAAGCCGGTGAATACTCGGAATATTTTTAAGACGCGAGGATTACGTTTAGGTGTCGCGGTCACGTCAGATGGACGCACGTGCGCTTTTA